CAAGAGAAACACGTGAAATGTGATACATAGATGAGTTATAAGCGGACATACACATTTTGTGCAGAATTCGTATGTGTTAAAATGTTACAAACACGGACATAAAGCAAAATCGTGTTATGCAAGACAACTTTCATGTAGAGACACTTGATGCTGGTCGACATTATGCGCATGAAGAGGTTCCTACACAATATGGGTGTAATATGTCGTAATTTACGTTGCTAGCCTCCACCACACACTCATAAATATTGCAAGTTCGATCTATCGATTTCAGAGCCCTTAGCTGCAGACAGGAGCAGGGCCAGATATTATTCGAGAGAGGAGTTAACCAATATGTTACGGTGATAAAACACCAAAATAAGACATCATAATATAATGTGCTAGTGTTGTTACATAATTTTAAGGTACTGGTACAAGAAAATAACAGAACATATGATAAGGAGCACCCAGTTGAGTTTATTTACCTGTAAAATACTGTAATATACAGCACACACCGATATGCTTGCTGTATTTATACCTTGCCACGTCTGACGGGTGTAAACAGACATCAGCGAAACATTGAAACCTGAACCTAGTGGAGGGAAATTACCGTATAGCAAACTAGATTCTGCCAGGCCATGAGTGGTGTCGATACATGGAATCTCGAGGTTTGCGAGATCCGACTTCTATACCACTGTTCTTGTTACATTTCCGTAAACAACAGAGAGAAATATGTGACTAAAATGCAAAAGAATATGGCGCCATTATCTGTTGCACTGCTGCATGATAGTTCTTTATATATAGAGCACTTGTTATGCAGTGAAATAGCGCTGAACACTGATACACACACAGGAACCTTGTGCATTAAAAGAATCTAAGTACAGACGGAGAACACCGGAGAAGCAAAACGATTTCATGTTATATATATACGTAGCCGTGAGGTCCCAGAACTGCATTGTCACAGATTTTCTTCTGCCTAGACACCTGCTCTCTCTGGTTTCTTGCTAGGCTGATTTTCGACACTGATGATGGAGGTGATACATTCCTGCGAAACGTCGGCTAATATACGTACTACACAGGGCTATATCCCAGAATCTGACAAATTTCTTTGAAAAGTTTCCCGTTGTGTAACTTAGCAACCTTCTCACAGCATCCCAGCATCTAACCTGAAAGCCTTAAGTCACGACCCGCCTCATTTTGTATCTCGCTTTTTGCAAATAGAATCTCGCGAAGTTTGGCGTCTTCCTTTTTTCTTTCTGCGCACATATCACCTCCTAAATGGAAAACGTGTTCAGAATTTAAGCGGAAGTGTAAAAATCTGTGAAGAGAAAAATGAACAGAACATTTCTTTTAAAATGGTACAAGCAAACAAACATATGCATATACAGGATGATTAAGAAAGATAGACACAATTTCAATTGGCTATATTTCCTGAACTACATGTTGCATTTGAATTCTGTAAAGTACATTTGAAAGAGGATGTTGTAAAGTTTCTAATACTACAGCTAGAGCACTCCATCACCGCGCCAGTTGTAAGCGAGATGGCTACTATGCAACACAAGATTTTTTTGCATTCGTGAGTTCAGTAAAAGTGAGTCTGCGACAGCGGCGCAGCGTGCATTTCGTCGCAAGTTTAACATCCAACCTCCAACGAGGAAGAGCATTTATCGTTGGAATAAACAAATTGATGAAACTGGCTCTTTGTATAAGGGTAAAAGCAAAGTGACGCAAGAAATTGGTCATCGAGTGTGAGATGAATTCAGCTAACGTCTAGATGTTATCCGTGCAGCTGGAGGTGGGCACATTGAACATCTATAAACTTCCATATGTGTATAATCAAATATAATTTACAGAATTCAAATGCAACATATAATTCAGGAAATATAGCCAATTGAAATTGTGTCCATCTTTCTGAATCACCCTGTATTTATGAGACAGCGAAATAACAAGTGGAAACATTTCCACTCGTTATTTCGCTGCATCACATGCAACTTATATTTTCAAATTCACTTTGAATTTTAAATCACTGGCGCACTGCATGTTTCAACCGATACGATCATCATCAGGTGCTTCGAAATTGACGTTGGGAACTGCCTCACTTCTGTCAATGTATACCATTCCAAATTTTACCCTCTTTTATGGGCCCATCTGTTGTACTTTTGTACTGTTGGTTGATTCCTTTTATGCGTCGTGTGCAGCTGTAAAATTTACAATTGTATGCATTGACGAAGGTGCAGCAGTTTCCAAAGTCAATTTCCAGTCAGCTAATAAGACTATATCGGTCGAAATATTCAGTGCACCAGTGATTTTAGAGCCGGGGTAGCGTAATCGGTATAGCGACTGGCTACGGGTTGGACGACCGAGGGCTCAGAGTTTGAGTCCCGGTAGGGTCAAGAATTTTCTCTTCTCCAAATCGTCCACACTGGTTCTGGGGCCCACCCAACCTCCTATCTAATATATACCGGGGGCCACTTCCCTGGGGGTAAAGCGGCCGGGGCGTGAAGCTGACCACTCACCTCCAACTAGTGCCGAGGTCAAGAAAATATAGATCTATACATCCTCTTCCTCATACACCCTAATGGCGTGGTGCTTAATTCGTTGAGCACAGGGACAACTTCACATTTTACCTTACCTTTTACCAGTGATTTAAATTTCAAAGTGAATTTTAAGTTTTTAAGCTGCGTGTGAGACGTTGAGCAGGAAGTGAAAATACGTGACGTGCAACAGGATGATGCAGTACTATATATACACATCAGGTTCTGTGATCTTTCTCGTGATCATCTCAAGAAAGAATTTGTCTCCATTACGGAGGTATGTCTTCCTGTTGAAGAGTTTAGATCGAGGTAATGTCCCAGAGAGAAGGAACACCCATGGGAACTCGTATGCTGCTGTGGATGGCACGTTTCCAATATTATTTTCTCTATAAAATTTTCTGCGAACTTCAAGCATCAATATTTTGTTAGGAATTCCAGTTCGAGTGTTTACATTCCAGTCATAACATCCAGTATTGTAAATATATAAAATACAGTTTTAAAAGCGTTGTTCAACATAAATATTTTAATGAAAATGAGATATGAGGAAAGCGAGACCATTGTTGGCCACTTTACCTGCCGACCTGCAACCAACACACGTGTACTCATAAACTCACGTAGCACCTTTATGAAATTATGGTCTAGAGAGTTGTTTGCGTGTGCGCATAAAATCCTTGACTTTAACGCCTCGCCTGTTCTAGAGTCGTCTTCTCTTCACCCAGTTTAAAGACAATTCATAAGTACGTGGCTGGGATTAAGAAACAGACCAGAGCACTCCACGCCCGACGGTGACCTACTGGTGCCAATATTCGCAGATTGATTGTGTATTGTTTGAACGGCTTCCTCATGCTCCTGCCTTGTACTGTTACTTCGGAGAATGCAGTCGGCTACAGTGTGTTCCGTAAATAATGCTACTGTCCTACACAGCAGACAGGGGATCGGGGCAAATGAGAATTCCGTTGTGCGTGAGTGCACATTGAAATATGCTTAAAATAGTATCATTCTACCCACTTGACATCTCGATCTACAGAACGCATGCTACATCAATATTCAACTTTTTTCCGTTCATTTATACCGGCTTTGCTTGTGAAATGTCCCAATCTTTGCATTACTGTGGGTTTCCGGGCTCAGAAGAGCCGATTTTAAAGAAACAGTTTAATTAGGCCTTCGTAGGCATTTACAAGTAGGCCTATGTAAAGTATAAATATTAAGTTGTCCCGGTGCTTTATTAGTTAACCGCCACATAGTGAAGATATATGGGGAAATAGAGGTACAGCTCCATCTTTCTTGGCTTCGGCACTTGGTAGTGGAGAATGGTCAGCTTAAGACCCTGGACACTTTACCGTAGAGGAAAGAGCGGCCGGTATATCTTGGATGGACTGGGTGGGCCCCAGAGCCAAGCTGGGTACTGGGGGAAAAGAGAAATCTCTCGTTATTTCCGGGAATCGAACACCGTCCAGTCTCTCGGAATATCGACTGATCTATCCAGGACGAATAGTGGATAAGTAGTTGCATAATCGAATATCAAGATAAATGTAGTAGACATATACAAAATCGTAAAATACTGTCATTAGGTAATTATGAAATAATATTTAACACTTCACTTCCTTGTAGAATTACATTCACAATTCATGGTATGCAACATCCCTCAATACTACACAATCTGCAAGTGTTCTTAGTGTCACGTGGTGAACAAAATTTTGTGACGTGACGACTGAAAGCCAGAATAGTGGAGCCAGAGCCAGACGTCCGTTGTTGAGCAACGGCTCGAAAATCATGTTCCCGTTAAAACGTATAGTAGCAATCGATCCGTCAATAGGTAACAAGTTGCTAAACACAAGATTCCCGTCACAATCAACTGGATAAGAGCAGGAATTAACCGTTCAACATGGTGGTCTCTTTGAGGTTCTCAGGAAGTTATAAAAGGCAGTGGATTCGTGAATTCAAGAAGAGAGAGATCAAAGAATATAGAGATCAGTCAGAGATTAGTGATGGATTCGCCAGACGGACATCGTTAAGAAGGAGTTCAATATGTGAGCTGTTGTAATCAACTGCAATTGTAAAAACAAAAAACTCCGTGGCTTTAGTCCGCAAGCGAACTATACCGACCGAGCCACCGCCTCTTGTCAGTGAAGTTAGTGGCAACTTTAGCGGATAGAGGGTGTCGCGTGGTCAGCTTCTGGTATAAAGAAATGGTAATAAACCCAATCATCAAATTTAGAACCCTTTATTATTCGTCACGCCAACCACTTACACCTGACAAAATTAATGGAATTGCTTGAAAATATATCATAAATTTCTAGTGGAGACGTAAGAACATTCTGTCGTGACAGTTCTTCGGGGATGATATTATCGTAACCTTCAGCTATAAACTCTACGCAGACGTTTCGATTAACAGTGGGTCCCCACATGTCAGACTGCATCAGAATATGAATAGGGTCAAGCTGGGTACTTTCGATACTATCACGAAATATATCGTATTAATTGTTGCAGGATGTACCACACCACGGGACAATGAGCTGTGTGCCACAAGGCGCCCTCTTGGCGCTGCTGGCCGCCATCTTGCACTGCACCATGACGTCACCCGTGTGGATGCCGCAATTCCTGTCCGGAGGTCAGTTCATTCCACAGTGTTGGATCATTTGGTTTTACCTCACTGTACTATTTAATTAAGTTGCGGCCATGCAAAGGAGAACTGCTTAAGTTAATTCTGATATGCTGAATCCAAATCCAGGCACACGACATTTTAATTACGTCACAGTTTTAAGAAAAGTGTACTTACGTTTAAATTATGAGCATCAAATTGTGAATGGTGGCAGAACTTGAGGACAGAAACTTTGCATCACAACAACGATGTGCTTATTAGGCCCCAGCCATATACTCTGCCTATCTGAGGTGGATTGCACTTTTTTCTCTTCTTGATTAATTTATATAATTAATCGTTCTATATTTATATTATAAAGGGTTCCTCTCAAAAATAAATTTTGTGTTTATATTTGGGTTAATTAAATAGTATTATCTCGACAGTACTGTTTACAATTAATTGTTGGTGTTTGAATAAAACAATTTAACAAGTTTATATTTAAAATTATTTCATTCGATGTTAATAACTTTAATATTATATTTTGATATGTGTGCACCCACAAGGCAGATTATTCTAGGCTGGGACAATCGATTAGCAAGTAGTTCACAAATTTCGAAATGGAGAATTTTTCTTACAAAATCTCTTTAACCCATCGCCACATTGAAATAGACTGCTCCGTGCTAGGTAAACATAATTGTCGAGCCCTTGTAATGATGCTGCTTGAAAATCTGTCCCTCATTGGAAGAGATGACAAGTAAGCTCTCACTGCCCCGACTCGAAACAACCAACCTTGTTACATAACAAAACCAAAAACTCTCATAACCCCTGTTGCCTAACTTTACCAATTAATAACACGTTCATAATGAAAAATGTTCCTTTTCTCGACGTCGTCATGGTGTGATTTTTGGGCACATGAGCTATTTTACCGTAACTTTTGCTATCTATTCATGCGATAATACAAGCATTCCGAATTTTACATGCCTGTCTACAGTGGCTTTCCAGTTAAACGCCAAGACTAGACTACATGCGGAATTATTCCGGAGAAAACGATTTAAAGAAATAAGGTGCAACAAGCCCTTTTGGTATAGCAAAGGAAAAATAACACGTCAATGTATAAGACCGCAAATCTCATTATAGTGATTATGATATTAAAGATGATCATATTGGCATTCAAGAAGATGGCGAAGGTGATGAATGAAGAAGAAAGCTGTCTTCTGGGTTATAACGCCGTGTACTTCGGAGAACACCCGAAAATTTCAAATTTCGGGCTGCCTCCAATCCCAACGGCTGAAGCTAGAAGACCTTACTTCTCATAATCATCGAAACGAGCACACCAGTTCAAACAGTGACGAATGACAATTGTGGCGAACATAGCGAAGAAGATGACAATGATTTAACGATGATGATGATGAATGAGAATATCTTGGCGGTAGTGACTCAAAAGACGCGCCTTGATTACAGTCTGGTGCTGACTCCCATATGTGAAGTGAACAACTTTCGCCCGTCCATGAGCCCAGCCTGTATCGGTTGCGTTTCACAGTTACTTGTTTGTGCTGCTTGACCTGGAAACTGCTCGCCTAACGGTTCACACCAACAGGCATTACCTGCCGAGAATGTGGGTAACCTATCCAGGGTTTCAATAATCGAGTAAAAAAAAAGGCCCTTTTTTTCTTTATACAGATTCTCAAATCTTGGCTTCAAACATGGCTGAAAGAAAACACAAATTCCAAAGATAGCTGTAATAAATGTCGTTGGAGAGAGACTACAGAATGAAGAAATGAGCATACGGCAAACTATGAAAACAAATTAAGATTTCCGTCTCTGAACGTGACATTGTGTAGCCTGGTAGATGGTTACCAATTTAGAGGAACATGCTGGTTCCAGGTTCAGAGTAGAAATATGAAAATATCAGAGAAGTTACCCGTTAAGCAAAATATACAAGCAATATCTCTTAAATGACTTATGCTTCTAGAAGAAAAAAGAGATGTGGGAAGGACTAGGAGAAGCCAGAAAGATGATTTCATTGACTTCTGACTCTCAGAACGTGTTCAAATCAAGTAATCTTTCTGATAGCAGCTGAGGTGTCCTTAAACATAAAGTAAGCCCTTTTCTTTTTCCAAATAAAAGTTGATAAAATATACAAGATTTTCATGTAAAATCAGACGTTTCGAGGAAAATGATGAACGCGTAACCTCAGCTATAAGGACAGCCCCCGTTTCGGGAGCTGGATCTGCTTCTTTCTCAGTTGGTGGGATGTTCTGTTGAGGTCCGTTAGAAGAGCTAATTCCAATAATCGGTCAACTAAGTCAAAAATATAAGATACATAAGTCATTCGGAAGAGATTTTTTTTTTCAACGAGAGATGTTAAAAATAATACAGTGAGCATTGTGACAATAATTTTGAATATTGCTCGTCCTGCCTTCTTTCTTTCTATTTAGTCTTCCGATATGAAAGCATGTCTTATTTCTTAGGCATGTTTCAATACGGTGGAGCAGAGATGAACCCGCGGCCCGACATACCATATTTTTCCGGCGATCCTCAACAGGCAGTCATGTGTTTCAGTGCTTCATTGCAGACACGAAAATACATTCTTTACTCTTATGTATCTTTGAGTGTTTTTGTTTTTGAGGTGTAAAATATTTCGAATAGAATAAACCGACTCCTTCGAAGGTTTGTCTGCAAAATAATACATTCTGATATATCTGTTGATCTGCCTATTTGATGTTTACCTGCTCAATTCCTTGTTTGTCCTCGCTGTCTACTCCGACACTCCTACACATAATTCACCCTCATTTTCTTGCTCATCTTGTGCTCATTTTTAAGTAACTCTCCCACAGCTTTATTAGCTCACTCCCACTCACTGTATAATAATGAGTAATCTACTTATACTCGAATCTGCTCCTTGTCTCAAGTATTTTTCTCGGTCATTCGTTTGCTCTGGCCGGCATATAACGTTATTTCAATGGGCAGTAACTATATCTTTACATCACCTGATGTCTTGGTCGAGTGGATGGCTTTCGTGCTTCGTGTTCTGAAGTTCCGTCATGAAACCGGCTCACATGGCTGAGATTTTTGTGGTTGCTTTAGTCTTTTTCAGGGAATTTTTGAAATTGTAGTCTATATATCAACTCTCTCATACTTTTTCAAGGCGTAATGTTTAATTAGTTACGTACAGGGACAACTCTACCTTTTCTGGAGTCCAAATTAACCCACGATCGGTTCCGTTCACATCAATTCCAACACATTACTCGCTATCAATAGCTCAGATGGTGCAGCGACTAGAATACGAATTGCACATCCGAAGAATTCGTGTTCTAATTATCTTCAGGGGCAACAGGTTTTTCTCTTCTCCATAGCGTTCCGATCGGCTCTGGGGCATGTTGGGTCTATTTCCCTAGAGATAAAGCATCAGGAGTGTGAAGTTTAGAGGGCATATCTGCACTTCAAAAAATATTTCTTTTTAATCCACCTGCTTAAGGACCCCCCCCCCGGGTAGGGTCATGGATTTTCTTTCCTCCAAGTAGTCCAGACCGTATCTGGGGCCCACCCAGCCTCATATTCAATCGGTACCGGGGTGTTCTTTTCTTTGGGGTAAAGTGGCCGGGGTTTGAAGCTGACCACTCACCTCCAGCTAGGGCCGAGGTCAAGAAAATGTGGATCTATACATCCATTTCCCCATACGTCTTCATTGCATAGTGCTTAATTAGATAAGCACGGGGGAAGATTTATCTTCTACCTGCTTAAGAACATTCAGTTTTTGGCTTTTAAACAAGGTTCTGGATCACAACCCCACTGCTTGTGTCTCTCCCCATAATAATAGTGTTAGTACTATATACTACAATTCGCCAAATTTTGAGATTGTACTTGCAAGTCTTATTTTTCACTTTCCACGAGATTAGATGGTAAAAATGCTAGCCCCATTCGAAGCAAGATTTCATTTTTGTATGGCGACACTTAGAAAATTAAGTAATTTTTATTACTACAGTGAAACGTTAGAAAGAGAGGAATGCAGCGTGGTAATGCACGATGTAATTTGTCGTGGTGATCGTTGTAACTTGGAATGTTATGTTACGTTAGCTAGAAAAACGAGTAATGTAAAGAGAGAAAAAAAGGTGTAAGATTCGGGCTATAACGCTAATATGCACACGTCAGACTCGTGTGTTTGATACTTCTTACAACAGTTCAAAGTGGACACATAACTGTATATTAACTGAGGAATAAACACAGCAGCGAAGCCAGCCTCACGCAAAGCTCTGTAAAAAAATGGGAACTTGAGACACAGACTAGTCCTTACACTGCCACGTTGTAGGGCGTACACAAGATTTTAAAAGCTGGATTTGAGGTTCTCGCTGTTCTATCTATCTTCCTGGGGCGCCGTGAAGTGTGGTAGAAATTTACCGACGTTTCGAAGGAACGAACTGCATCAGTCTTCATGGTAAAAAAAATGAGCAAAAAATGTTGATTGATTTGATGTTTACTTGCTTGGATTATACTTCAGACCTGAAGACTGAGACAGTAAGTTCCACCTAAAAGTCAGTAAACTTTACTAAACTTCAAGGAGTCACAATACAGAAAGTCATGCTCTTCGTCAGTCTTTATTGTTTAGAATTATCTAATTAACTTTCGAATAGATACACGTAAAGTTACCATCAAATGTGTCTAGTCTTAATTCATAAGGAACTGTGAAACCAAACAGCCATCTTCAGGGGCGTCCAGTATTAAAAGAAAATCTTAACTAACTTTGTATGAATTGTTTAACATTTTTACGTGTCGCTTAATATAGAATAGCAAAATATCATTAATATTTAAAACTAATACTGTACACAGTTCAACACATCACCACGCACAAACCATTACAATATATCGATCTCTTGGCTTAATTAATTAAGCACAACGCCACGAAGACATATGTGGTGATGGAGGTATAGCTCCACAGTCATGACCTAGGCACTAAATATAGTTGAGTGGCCAGCTTCACGCCTCTGCTGGGCTTCCTCCAGTACCATTGTGAGGGTTGCTGGTTGGGGCCC